GAAACTTATTAAGCCCAAAATGAATATTCAATTAATAATTGTAAATTCTGGCATGAAAAAAACTCTCTTATAGAAAGAGCCTTAAGCGGATTAGGCTAGATGCGTGCATAGCCAATAGAGTACGCAGTCCGCGGTCCGCTGTGCCATGTCCGATTGTCGGTTGCAAACTGTATGACAAAGTTATAATGCTCTGCGAGAGTGGGCCAGTGGCTCGTGAGTGAGCAGCAGATTACAAGAGATTGCCAGCTGACGATAAGAGGGCAGAGGTCAGGTCGCCAGCGCAGGTCGGTGCGCTGGGCAAGGAATCCGGAACCCGCATTCAGCAGAGGCAACAGCAACAGCAACAGCAACATGCTCCTTGCCCAATTAGTTAGCGCATTAAACTGGGGATCTCTGCAGCGGGCCAAGGAATTTATTGTGTTAGCCGGCCGAGTTGTGTTAGTGTTAGACGCTTATCGCTGCAACCAGGCACAGGATTCGACTCAACTCGTAATTGACTTGTTGCCAAGTAATCGTTGCCTGTTAACTGCTGTTGTCAGGGGATTATCTACAGTTCAGTTGAAATCGACTTGGCTTGCTCAGAAACCCAGCTCACAGCATCTGCTGGTCGCCTATCACAGCTATCAGTGCGCAGCACACGCTGAAGTTAGCAGCAGGAGCTGGAGCTGAGGCTGAGGCTGAGGCTGAAGCTGAAGCTGAAAGTCCAAGTTCAATGAAGTGAATGAAAAGTGAAAAACAATAAACATGCTTAGCACACATTTTTACTCCTGCTGGGCCTTCAATTCAAGAGCTTTGTTTTTGCTATCCCAAGCCAGTTGCTTGTTGCTCGTTGCTGCGTCTCTCGAGCAGCGTAGCCAGCTAATTGGTTTTTGCATGGCCCAAGTAACGTTACAGCCAATTCACCTGGTCCGCCCCCAAATGCTAGCTGCTACCTGCCTTTGCTCCTCGCTTCACCTATACGTTAACTGCTGTGGCTTTGGCTCGGCGCCCGGAAGCATGCAATAAGCGGTGTCCGCAGCAATCAACGTGCTATCCCTGCTCCTACTCCACCTGTCCCTTGCCCCTTGTGGGCTGCCCATTTTGAAGCATAGCCATAAATGTTACATTTGGCTTTTAGCGAACGTCGGATGCATGTGGATGGCTGGGCGGCGTTGGTGGCGTATATGACTTGGGTTGCCTTGGCTGAGGCGAACCGAACAATTTGGTTTGGCTTTTCTAAAAGTCAACGCCGTGGGGATTACGCAGCCGACTCAGCACAGCTTATGACAAGCCGTGTGCCTCGCCCTCAACCACACACAAACGCAGCTGTGCTGGGCACTGAGCGGCTGCTATCGTGTTTGTATACCCTGTAACCAAAAATAATAATCATTAGGAAAAGTGTGAAAAAGCTGTGAAAATGCCACAGACCAAAGCATTGTTGGCCAATTGCAGCAAACTGTTGCGGTCAACTCATTAAGCGCTATCAACAAATACTTATCCAATTTATGTAATTTTTTAAACTTTTTTATTTTTGCTTAAAATTTAGGCATAGACTTAACTACTAGTTAACTAATTGTCAAGTTTTTAGCTTGGCATGTTAAAGAAATCTAATTATTATATTTTATATTATTTATATTTTTTATTGAGCACTCATATTAGTTAAACCTTTATTATTATTATTATTATTTATTATTTAACTTTAAGATATATCTAAAATCCGTGCTTATATTCTTAGTTAAATATCCAATAAAAAATCTTAAAGTCTTCCCTACTTGATTGCAATTAATAGCTAAATAAATGAGTCTGTCCTGTCGCCTTTGTAACTGTTGTGGTTTGGTTAGTTTGTAGTTAAAATACACCTTTACACGCACGCATACAGCTGCATGCTGACAGCCTTTCGCTTTCGCATAGTCAATGCGCTTTTAAGCGCGCTAATTAAAAATGTGGCAACTGCACACGATGTGCCTTTGGTTTGTCTTGCAAGATGAAAGAGCGCTGCCAGACTACCCCGCCCGCCGTCTCTCTCCCACTCCCTCTCACACTCTGCTCTCTCCGTCTCCTTCCCGCTCATTGCATGTCATTTATCCATAATAGCGTTGCCATCACGTTTTCTATTGCGCGCACTTGCCAAGCGTTGCGTTGAGGCAGCGTAATTAACGCCATCACTTTTGGCATTGGCTGCAACTTAGAAGCAGCTGGCAAGGCCTTAACGGATTCCTCCTCTCCCTCTCTCTTACGCTCACTCACACTCTCTCGCTTGGTGGCTTTGTCGCTGACTGTGCTTGAGTCGTTGAGCTTTTTTTGTTCGGTTTTCTTTTACGCTTTACTTATATTTAGACTTATACTTTCTTCTTCTTCTTCTTTTTTTCTTTCTTATATTGCATATTTATTAAAATGCAGCTCGAGAGAAGCTGCTGCGTCAAGAGCTAAAATGTAATAACTCTTGTTGTGGCCACGCCCAATCCGTTGATGCTACGCTTTGTGCTGCTGCCGTTGATGCTTCTCCACCAAGTCCTCTTTCCACCTTGCTGGCTGCGCATTTGTTAAGCTGCTTTTGAACGCAGGTGTTGCTATTGTTGGCTTAACGCTTCTACGCGTTATTGTGGCGCACATTTTTTAGCCAAGGATTTGCAGCAGGCAAGTCCGAGCTGCTTATTAATTCAAAATTGAGCGCGGCTAATAAGCTTAAAGCAAAGCAAGCCGCCCACTTAAACAGCGCCCCAAAAGCCCACCACGCTCATTCCCCACCTGATGTGCTAATTGTGCGCTAATTCTAATTATCAGCAACACATTCGAGAGGTGAGTTTTGGGCGCTGCTGCTGCTGCAGCGGATGCTAACGAGTGTTTATTAATGGCGCTAATGGCGAGCTGCGCCTTTGATGAACGCCGCTTAAGCACACTCCGATTCTGGTCATGTCCTTTACACTGGTCCGACCCGGCGTTGCTTTCAAAATGCGCGCCACGCAATTAGCGCACAAATATTTCCGCATCTACATACATACACACATACATATATACATACATATACATATATATTTTTTCCACATTTTCATTTTTTTGCCAAGCGACCATAAAAATGCTCAACCGAATTGTAGTAATTACAACAATTTGCATAGGCGGCGAGTGGGCGTGGACAGGACTGGGCAGGGCAGAGCAGGCAGACGTGGCGTGGCGTGGCATGAGAACGGCACGAACGGAAATCAAAAAGCGCAAAGCACAAAGTGTGCTACGCATTTTGCAATTTATTCATGCAGAGACGGCCAAGGCGACTGCCATAAGGAGCAAAGCAAGCGCCAAGGCAGCAGCAGCAGCAGAAGCGAAGCCAACCCAAATGCCGCTAATTATGTAATATGAAAATGTGAGGACAACAACAACAGCAAGAAGGACATGAATCCGGGAAGGCGAATAAGGCCGATTTATTTGCATATGGTAAACAGGCAAAGCGGGCGCATAGCAGAGTCGGACCCTTTTTAGCAGATATACCCTGTGCCCATACATATAAAGAGCTAAGGTGGCTTATGGCCGTAAGTATAGATTTTCTGTGCGTGTTATATAAAGACGGCTGTAAGCCTCTTTGACTTACCAATTGAGCCCATTGCCGGCATTTAAATTCTGTGTGTCAAGTCAACTCTGACATTGGGTTAGCTAACAGGGTATAAGCTAGTCGAGCACTTTATGCTACTTCGTTTGCTCCGCTTTTTACTTGCTTCGCCCATTAACAAATTCAATTAACACTTTGCATTATTCAAGCGCATTCACATCTGTCCAAAAATTATACCGATTATAATCGGAAAATTCAACAAACCAAAAAAAAAAAAAGAGTTCCATCTTAATTACGGCAATATGAACTGATCTTCTATTCAACAACCTACCCTCCACAATTAATGTTTGTTTGCTTGAAAAAATAAAGTTTGGTAGAACTTTAAGTATTTGGAAAATGGAAAAAAAGTTAAGAAATAATCTATACTAGTTTGTATATAAAGATGGAAAATAGCAAATAGTTTCATTAGTATTTACGATTATAAAATATACTTGCAGTTGCTGAGTTGCGTTTAGTTTAGTTTGAGTTTAGATGCATTATATATTAAACATCTTGAGAATATAAATTGATAGTTAGAAATTCCATTCAGAAATGTGAAATAGTTAACGTCTTGGGGAACATTTGTAGAACTTTTTTCACCAATAATCATATCTGACACTTCATACCATCTTAAGAGCTTTAAAATTCGATAAGTATGGTATCGTAAAAATCTAAGTAGCTTCATTCCCAGACTACTATGATAAAGTGAAGAACATTTCAGGACAAACTCCATTTTAGTATGCTTAAGGAAACAGTTTAAGATCTTTATTAGGAGATAATTATGAAGTGAAAATCTTAGGAACTTCGCTCATAAACAATTGCGATACACTGGAGATCAGAAAAAAACTTGATTTTAGCATTACTATGTTATAGTAAATACCAGAAAAACGTAAGACTTAACTTAGATATATCGATACAGTTAAGCAAGATACGTACTTATAGACAATTCATTCCCTTGGCAGCTACAACGTATAGTAATCGATCCGTCATTGACAGAGACGTTCCGTTCCAAATTCTGAAAGATTAGCTTACCTAGAAATTCAAACTAACAGACAGATTTAGATATATAAATATAAAGTATTTATATATATACATCTATATCTTATTCATATCTTATTTGCCTATGTACCTTCATTCAAATGGAATGGAATCTTTTATAGAAATAAAAATATTTAATATCAGTAAAATGTATATAATTAAAATAAATCTTATAAGCAGGCATTACTTTCGAATCGAATTATAGCAGCAGTTGCAATTGAATCAATTGAAATGCAGCTTAAACTTGATTAAAATAAATGGAAAATTTTTAAAAGAATTCTGAAATGTGATAAGCGAATTATTAAAATCCATTAATGCATTTTGCATATTTATGGTAAGACTTTATTTCAACTATATATACAATTGGTATATAACGTGTATATGTGTATATGTGTATATGCATATAATATTTATACCCGAATTGTGGAACTCGATTTGTGATACATTTTTTATTGGCTCACATTAAATGTGAATTTATCAAAACCTTTTGTTTTTTTTTTTGTGTTTTTGTTTTTGCTGCACACTTTTAAAACTTCATTGAGCAGTCTGTGTGTCCTTTTGCCAGGATGTCAGCGAATTAAAATTTTAATATGTATAAAAGATGCCCTGCCGATCCGATAGCCCCGTCCATAATAAAACGAAAAAACCAATTACAATTTGTTAACAATTTCTCGTTTTTTTCTTTCTTCTCTTCTCTCTTTCTCGTTCTCTCAATCAAATTTATTACGAGAGTCCGTGTGCATGTTGTAAAAAAATGAAACGAGATGAAAAGCATATGGAAAAACAAATCTGCAATCGGCGCTTATATTCTTAAAATATTATCATGTCTATAGACTGTGTGTGTGTGTGAAAGAGTGTGTGTCTGTGTGGGACAATTAAAACCATGCCACAATATTGCAGTACACACAGACAAAAGCTGACACACACGCACACACAGACACACAGACGCACATACACGGTTGCCTTGGGGCGGCCTAGTAAATGGTAATCAACGCAAATCCTCCATAGAGCACCGCACACGGATAGGCAATCAGCAGCTGTTGATGGTCCATGGAGAACGCCGTGGCGAATAGTTTCGAGGCCGATATGGCGCACCAGAATATGGCGATGCCGCTCACAATTAGGCCGAGTGTGCCCCTGCAAAGCGCAAAGAGATTTAGATAGAGTGAGTGAGTGGTGAGTGAGTGAGTGAGTCGGTGTACAAAACAGGGGAGCGAAAGAGGAGCTGGAAAATTGAGAGAAATGCAAAGAGAAACATTGGCGGTAAAATCAATAAACAATGCATATGCATGAGCAGCGGGAAAGAGTATACGGCTGACTGAGTGTTTGCCATACAAAAAAAAAACTGTTCACTGCCTATGCGTGTGCATGTGTGTGTGTGTGTATTTTGTGAATGAATGAGCAGGGCAAACAAAGACAGCAGGCGCTGCGCAAAGGATGTGCAAACACAGTCCAACTACAAAGTCCTACGTGAAGAAAGAGAGAATGCAAATTTATATACACTTCATATATGAGCTAAGCCCACAAGAGCTTCAAGCTTCAGATGGCTTAGAGCATTCAACTAGCCCAACCACCCAATCATAGTTAAAGGAGATCAGGTTGAGCTATTAGTAATTGGTGAATTACACTGATAATGTTGATTGATCATCGATTGATTATATTGTCGATTCTTGAGACTCCAATACTATAAATTTATATTTTTATTATATTTATATATAATTGCAACTATATTGAAAACTTTAAATGAAACTTAAATAAAATACACTTTAACACACGATTTTATGAGAAACCTGACAGATTCACTCTAGCAATAGTTCCTGTAAATAATATATAATATAGTAGGCTGATATTTCGATATATTAATAGATACGAGACTTCTTTTATATAATTTCTAATCAATAACAATCTAGAACCTTCCCATACCAAGATGAGTAGACGATCGATAACTGATTCATTCTCATCTTAACCTGATAAGCTTCTTTAATTAGTATGTTAAATAACTGTCGCATATTCCTTAATCTTAAACTGAAATTCATTGCACAACAATAACTGCTATATAATTTATATGATATAGTAGTCATATTTGTGGATAAAAGTTTGCCTATAAGTCAACACTATATAGAACTCGATGCCAATATATGAATTGATTGAGACAGTAAAAGCAACCTTTGCCAACTGCTACAACAACTCATATTCAGCAGCTGAGTTCTCAGCATTTGCTGCCGGAAGACAACTTTGCTGACATGTCAAGCAGAATGTCCTGCAGACTGACAGAATCAGAAGGAAATACAATGCCATTTGAAGGCGCATATAAAAAGCTTTTCAAAAAGCTTTCAATTGATTGCTTTTCATTAAAAAATATATATATTTAAAGTAAATGTAATTTCTAAGAATAAACTGAATTAATTCATCACTTTGAATACTTTGCTTTCGCTTGACATTTAACTAAGTTAAAATTGATTTAGCTTTCAGCAGAAGTAACTTTTTTCCTCTTTTTTCTTTAGCATAATCTGGCCAACAAACTGTACAATCCGCATAACAATCTATAAATAATTGTCATGCGTTCAAAAGGCCCTGTGTGTGGGTGTGTGTTTGTGTGCGTGTGTGTGCGTGTGTGTGTGTGGGAAAGGTCTGACTGTTCCATTTAATGGATTGCCTTTTTTTCGCTTCATTTTCATTTTTATACTCGTTTTATTTTTTTTGCGGTCGCCTCGTCGCCTGGGGTCACCTGGTCCCACAAACTGTCGCAATTCGCTTTCATCTGACCATGTGTATATACATAACCTTAGCCACCTTAAGCCCCGACCTGTATATTGTTTAAATTTCTCTCTCTCTCTCGTTGTTGTCGATTGTGCCAAGTGATTTTTGGCTTAGCTTAAATGGATAGCACGCAGGGCCTGGCAACTAAAACCAATCAAACCAATGCGCTGTAAGAGCAGCCGCACACACGCCCACACACACACCCATGCACACACCCTTGGCAAACACGTCCACCAACTGCTGCCGTCTGTGTAATTTTTGTGCACTTTTGCATCACCAAACAAACTCAATTAAAAAGTCTGTCTAAAAAATCGCAAAAATATTTACTGTAAACTTGCTGGACGCTGCGCGCGGGCTGTCCAGTTGCGAGTAGAAGTATATGAACATCAACAACCACGCACACACCCCCACTCAGACACACACACACACACACACACAGGCACACAAAGTGCAGGCGTTTAAAACCAACAAATAAAAAATGCAAGCAAACGGCCAACCAAATGGCAATTGGGCAGCTACAGCAAAGAACTCGACGAAAAAAAAAGGCTAAAAAAATTAAAGCCCACTTCGAAATGGGGCGAAAGGGGAGACTGGGGCTTGGGCAGGCAGGCAGGCAGACAAAACGCTGCTGGTGTCGAGTAAGCTTGGGCAATAGTTGTTTTTCGTGCGAGCGCCAATTGAAATTATGACGTGCCAGAGTTCTGGCCAAAGGCTCGATAGGATTGCTGGCTGTTAGGGGGGGTAGTTGGAGCGCCGAGGGTCTCGCCACTGCATACGGGCTTTGGCACAGCGCACGCAACATTTGCGTGATGCTCTTCACAAGGGAAAATAACAAAAAAAGAGAGCAGACTAATAGTGTGCGTCTTTAAAGTGGCTAACCAGCAAATACCCTGTATAGCAAGGAAACGAGAATCATTTAAGACTTTAGTTATATCAAAAGTAACATATCCTACACATGTCTAAGCTATACGTGTGTGCATATAAATTTGATTACACTAGCTCTTATAATCCTCGAGATATGCTCTCGAAACTATATTCCAATATAAATAATTATAGATTTCTTAGAAATTTGTTAGCTTTAATGAAAGAAACTTGAGATGTGTAATAGGAGAAGTCACTATACAAATACAAAGTTTTTAATCCCTAGGGATTTTGACATAACAGAGACACAGACAGACAACAATTAGTCAGTTCATGGACATTATATAGTTAAGTCGAAGTCATTGAACTTAAGGTTTATCGAACAGTCTTTAAGATCTCATTTAACATCTTTATATTTATCTGTTCTACATCTAACTTTCATCTAGCTGTGTGACAGATGCAATACTACCCTGCTCTTCAATAACTACAGGGTATCAAAAGGCAAACTAGCGACTACACATACACCAAGTGCTGAACACATATTTGAAAAGGAAAATACGTGGCCAGCTCTGGATATCCGGACACGGCACATCACCCGCTTACTGTGTCTTTCACGCACACGCACACACACACACATGTAGCTCTCTTTGGCTCTCTTCTACTTTTTTTTGTGGCCTTCTCCACTTGCAAAAGTGGCGCGAAAATTAAACGGCGCAAAGCTGGGCGCTTGGTAGCAATTTTTTCATTTTCTTTTTTGAGGCCCCCAAAGTGCACTAAAAGCGCAAATTAAGTTGCCTGGTTTTTATGCAGCTACAGAATTAAAAACCTGTGTTCTACATACGCCACGATAATTAAGAAAAGTCAAGGAATGTAACAATGCATGTAACTGAAAACCATAAAATATGCAAGTTTATTAACATGTGTAATGCAAAATTATCCATTTGATAGCTCAAATGGTGTGGGCGGAGCGGGTGGAAGCTATGCATGTTATTGTATGTAAGTACATGAGTGTATGAGTGCAATGCATGCATGCTGTGCAAGCGTATGCGTGGTATCTATAGGTGTCTATCCACACACATGGATGAAGAAATGTGTATGTATGGGTCTGTGAACACGTATGTGAATGGGTGTGAATTTATACGACTTTATATGTACATATTAATACTTATATATGTATGTATGTATGTGTACACAACTCTGACTATGTATGGATGTATGTATTTACATATGCATGTTTAGGTATGTATTCCTAAATGCAAGTATGTATGTATTTATATATATATATATATGTATGGATGTATGCATGTATGTATGTAGGTATATAAGTATGTATTTGTTTATGTATGTATGTATGTATGTATGCATGTACGTATGTATGTATGTATGTATGTATGTATGTATGTATGTACGTACGTATGCTTGCATATGTATATATGAATATCTATTTATGTACGTATGTATAGACGTATGTATATAAGTATGCACACATACGTAAGTATGTTCTGTTACACTGACCAACATCACAGAGTTCTCAAACCCCGTAATGCAAACGGATGCGAGTTTAAACATCCTACTCTGTAATTCTCTTGGTAGAGCCAACAGAATTGCAATGTTTTAACTAAAACTATTTTACTTATTCAGAAGTTGTGTGGCAATTAAATTAACTTTATCTCTGCTAAAAACTATTACTCTAATTAACTTTTTTCCCTCTTTTTCATTCGTTTTCACTCCACTGCAGTTGCTTTAACTTGTTCTTCAACTTTATTTCCTATGTTGCTGAAAAGTCTGTCTGCTTCGTCTACTAATACATGCTAAAAAAGAGTCTCAATTCTAATCCTCAATATTAAATTGTATGATGAACTCTCTGGGAGTCAATGTGTAAACAATCGTTAAAGTAATCGTAATCAAACTAGAAATATTTCAAGTTTCAATAATCAAACAAGGCTAAGTAGTTGAACGTGCTGCAGTCGCAGCTGGGCTGACTTAACCAAAGTTTGTAATTACGGCCGGGCACACAATGCATTGGCAACTTTTCAATTAAAAACATAAATACAAATCGAGAAGGAGCAACTGGGCGGAGTTTGCCGATATGGCTGAATGGCCGACGAGTGGGTGGCTAGAAGGCTAGATGGCTGGATGGCTGAAAGCCAGCCAGTTGTGTCAACAATTACTTACTGAATGGTGATTAAAATGTTGATGCCCGACAGCACGACCATGGGCAGCAGACAATAGCCCAGCACGGAGGCAACCGCCCCAAAGGTCACTTGCGACCGTGTGACCATCAACGAGAGCAGACAGTAGAAAAATATGCAGCCCATGACGCCGATGCCGTATATATATGAGAAGGTAACCTTTCCGCTCTGTAATATAAAAAAAATGAAATGGGAAGGGCAAAAGCGTAATGAAAACATAGGCACTATGTAATTAGAGTATTTTTCGATTTACACACCAGCAGCAGAATGCCTCCGAGTGTCAAACAGAATACCAATGGCCCGGCCATGTCCGTGTCCTGGAGTATTTGTTGGTCTGTGCCGCGCAACGGGTTCAATACGGCCAGCGTCTAAAACGAAACGGAGAGCGAGTTATTGTGTAATTCGAAAGCAATGTTATTAAAATTAAAGCAAGTGAAGGATTTCGCAACAGTATACCGCCATCATCATTCACAAGCTGCGGCAGGACACGACACAATTCATTTGTTCGCACACACACACAGAGCACAGCCATAAAATGGAGCCTAAGTTCCGCTTTTTGAACAGTTGCTCTGTGTATATATGTATTTGTATATGGGTGTGTACACTCGCACAGTGAAATTTGAAAAATGGAAATTGATGATAAATGATATTGCTGACCAGTCAGCGAACCAGAGCACCGAACGACCCTGTCAACATGTTTGACGCACGAGAATTTAGACCACGAGCCCAGAAATAAATGAAACAACAGGCAACCAAAAACAATCGTTCTTTACTAGAGACAAAAACTCACACATACACACGAGCACACAGACACACACACACACATGTGACCCTGTGGCAGGTCAGTTGACTTTAACATGAAATCCTTGTAACCAATCCTCTTTTGTATCCTTTATTAGCTGAAAGCTAATTTATAGGCGATATTTTTGAATTTTTTTGTTTTTTATATATCACTATTAATATAAATAAACCTAACGTTTTCTTTGTTTTATACTATCTTATATTCTTTATTAAAAATCTGTTCAGCTTAATTTATTGGCCAGTGTTATACGGCCAACAGAGTTTATTAACCAAAAATATGACTAAGCTAGATTTTATTTTCTGATTGAAATTTACAAAGTCAAAAAATTTCGATACCTTAAAGTTTTTATTTTATAAGTTTTCTGACTTTTTTAAAATTTAAAAATAAATAAAAAAAACTTAAACGCTTTATTTTACGTTTTTAAAGTTTGCCTTAACAAATTTAATATATATTTCTAAAATATCTTCGGAATCTAAATTCTATTCAGAATTTATATATATCAACTAAATTACTGGGAAAATACCGTAATAAATGAATAAATGCATTCATTAAAATATTCACGCATTTAATTACATTTAAATTTGAAAACAATTTCGAGCATTAGAAATAAATCTAATTTTATTTCCAAAAGATTGGTTTAAAATTTATTTTAATTCCTTGTTTGGCCTCGTTCTGTACCCATTTGTCGTCGCTGTTGAATTCGGTTTTTTTCATGCAATTTAATTAGTATTTCACTTAATTTTTATTATGGCAACGGACTCATTAACATTTTCATTTTTCAATTAACACAAACGTAATAAATTCCGCAACAAACAAAATTAAAAAAAAAGAAGCAAACTACAACAACGCAAATTTTCCACAAAAGGCAAAAATGTGGAGAAAAGTTACATAGAGGAAAACGAAGGAAAAAGTTTAATTAAAAACACAAAAGTTGTTTTATTTATTTAAAACACACAACAAAACAAAACAAAACAGCAACAGAGCAATGAAAAAATATGTCTTCATTAACGACAAAACAAAAATAAAATTACATAAAAAAGCCAACAAGTGCAGGCCAACAACAATGCGAACGACCAAAGCGCAAAAAAAAACGGCATCATGCAAAAGCAGTGTGCAATAAATAAATACAAAAGCGAAATGCAAAAACATTTAAATTTCAATTAAAACTGAGCGCGGAATAGCGCGAAGTTGGTCGCGGTAGAAAGCTCGGCCTAGAGTGGACACACTCTCCCTTTCCTCCTCTCCCGCTAAGTCTCTTCAACTATCTTAACGGCTTTCCTCTCGTGCTCTAACTTCTTCCCTGTCTGGCACACACAATTTTAACTGCACAAATTAGAAAACTGAAAACAAAAGCGAAGTGCGTAAAAGCAAAACGAAGAATAATGCAGTAGGTGAAGTAATTGCGCATGCAAACAAAATGAGGCAGTGCGAAGCATCTCACCAAAGGAACGAAGCTCATTAAATATACAATTTACCGAGATGTGAAGTTCTCTTCAAACACACAAAACAAATTGCTAATAACTGGAAAAGCCCAGGCTTACCTTTTGGAATATATGATTCGGATTGATGCCCAGTTCTGAAATATACAATAATATATGCATATCATAAGCTTTGCTTACATATAAAACATGTGTTAAAACATCTTACCTTCTAAAAGCGGCGGTTCATCGTCAAATTCGTTGCCAGAAGACGCTCCGCCGGCTGCGCCGGCCTGCTTGAAGGATTTCTCCTGCGCAAAGCTGTTATCTGTGTAGGCGGTTGGATCGTAAAAGCCCCCAAGACCTTGGTTAGGTGCATTGGTATAGGCCACATCATAGTTTGGCGGCACCGTCGGCTGTGTGTTGTCGAAAGTTTGGAAATTGCTGTGACAATCAAAAAACAGATACAATTCTTAAGGAAATTGAAATGCGTTTGCGTGTCACACCAAGCTTACAGTTCCTGACCAAATTCTGGCACATCAAAATTGTAGCTGGCATCTGCTGATGGCCCGGAGGCGTAAAAATCATTCGGTCCACCAAACTGTGCCATGATATAAACACTAAACAATATTTAAAGTTATAGTTAATTTAGAAATACAGTGCAACACGTCACTGGGAACGGCTGATTGCCATTCACCGGTAACATTAACATCTATGTTAACGTAAAGCAAATTCTATGACTGTTAAATAAAGACCAGTGCTGTAAAGCGACAATGTGGCGCATAAATGTTAAAATTTAAATGTAAATTATGTAGGTCTTATTTTAAAACACTTTTAATAAAAAGACTTCGTGTAATATTAACATTCATAATACATTTTTATTTGCATAGCTCCATTTGTAACATGCACACAAGTTATTCCTCAATTGGGGCTACGTAATTATTGCATTTGTAAAGGTCTATAATATAGATAGTATTATAATTTCGTATTGTATTTAACTTGTTGTAACACGCAATGGCAAAAAACATTAAATAAATTGTTAGTAGTTTGTAGTTACAGTTACGTAGAGAACACAGTTAGATAACTTTACGAATTTGTTTTACTAACAATAAATAGCAGTGAATTATAATTATGTAGGTATACATATATCAACATAGATAATTTAATATATATATATATATATTATATACTCAAATATATATATATGCATATGTATGTGTATGTTATTTATATGGCTGGTTTAAGTGGACAACATCCTTTCCATTTTTCCTTTTTTTAGTTTTATATTTTGTTTTTGCGCTATCGGCTAATTATTGTTCGTCTTTCCTAACTCTTTGTTTTGTCATCTTCGTCGTCGTGTACATGGTTCAATGTTTCTTTTGTTTGTAAATCAAGTGAAACTCTAGTCCTAGCTGACGCAACCTTTTCTAAACTGTTTAACTTAATAATTAAATTGAATTCAAATATCTTATTACGCATTATGTATATATGACTAGCTTGATGGGGGAATTCGAATAATAACCTAAACTTTGGTTGCTTATTTCGTTTGGTTTTTTTTTCGGTATTTTTCCTTTTTGGTATTTTGCTTTTCTTTTTTTTTTTTGTTTCTTTTTGCCTTGTTCATGTTTCAAGTACACAGTCGCGTTAGTGCGATTAGTCCTCCAAATTTCGGAAGGCCTGCTGTAGATCCTCATACAGCTGATCGTAGTCTGCCTTAATCTTTTGCTCACCATCCTTCACGGGATCCTAGGGAGAGTAAGTGAGAGAGAAATTCATTATCTAGCACACTTTCTCGATCAATTGAATTGCTCACCTTGAATTTCATTGAAGACAACTGATACATAATACCGCCCATTGCCTCCCTGATCGTGTTCCATGTAATCTTATTGTCCGATTGGGCGGTCGACTCAACGGCATGACGCGCCGTCTCGTAGAAAGCTAGAATATTTCTCAACATGCCGACAGTTTTATAGAAGGGACACACTCGATCGTATGGCGAGTAGGAGTTCTGCTGCAAGAAATCGTCCTTCAGCAGCTTGGCCACCTCCAGGGTAACCTTATCGGTTTCGGCCAGCGACGCTTTGCCCACCAACTGCACGATTTCGGACAGATCCTCCTCCTCCTGCAGAATCTCCTTGACCTTGGTGCGCAACGGCACAAATTCTGGGAAGTTCTTGTCATAGTATTCGTCCAGAGCACGCATATATTTGGAATAGGAAATGAGCCAGTTGATGGAAGGGAAATGTTTGCGCTGGGCCAGCTTCTTATCAAGACCCCAGAAGACCTGGACAATACCCAAAGTGGCGGAGGTAACGGGATCGGAGAAATCACCACCAGGTGGCGAGACAGCGCCCACAATGGACACGGAGCCTTCGCGCTCGGGATTGCCTAAGCACTTAACGCGTCCAGCGCGTTCGTAGAAGGTGGCCAAACGAGCGCCCAAATACGCCGGATAACCCGAATCGGCAGGCATCTCAGCCAAACGTCCAGAAATCTCACGCAAAGCCTCGGCCCAACGAGAGGTCGAATCGGCCATCATAGCGACGTTGTAGCCCATATCACGGAAATATTCAGAAAGAGTGATGCCAGTGTAGATGGAAGCCTCACGAGCAGCTACGGGCATGTTGGAGGTGTTGGCCACCAGTGCTGTGCGCTTCATGATGGACTCTGTGACGCCGTCAATTTCGCAAGTCAGTTCTGGGAAGTCGCGCAATACCTCGGACATTTCATTGCCACGCTCGCCACAGCCGACGTAGATGATGACATCGGAATTGGAGTACTTGGACAGGGCCTGTGAATTGTGCAATAGTGATAAGGGATGCCAGGAGTTCGTCAATCTCTTTTAGCATACCTGCGAGATGACTGTCTTGCCGCAGCCGAAGGCTCCAGGAATGGCTGTTGTGCCGCCCTGGACGCAGGGGAACAGCGAATCGAGTACGCGCTGTCCAGTAAATAGAGGATGATTGGCCGGCAGCTTTTCGGTGCAGGGGCGTGGCTGACGCACGGGCCACACCTGCAGCATTGTATGTTTTGTGATCTCGCCATCGAATTCCGTCTCCAGCACAATGTCGTCCAGATTGTAGTTGCCCGCTGGGGCAATATAGCGTACGGTGCCCTTGGCACGGGGCGCCACAATCATGCGTTGCTTGACCAGTGTGTTCTCATGGACGACGCCGTACAGATCTCCACCCGTGATGTGGGAGCCAACGCGCACATTCAAGGGATTGAATTCCCACATTTCGGAACGGGACAAAGCGGGCGTGTTGACGCCCTTGGGTATATATATGGAGCTGGTCATGATGCCAATGTCTCTCAGCGGACGCTGAATACCATCGAAGATGCTGCCCATAATGCCAGGACCTAGCTCCACGGACAAGGGTTTACCCGTGCGCAGCACCGGATCACCGACTGTGACACCAGAGGTTTCTTCGTACACCTGAATGGTGGCCATGTCGCCCTCCAGGCGAATGATCTCGCCCACCAGCTCATAGTAGCCTACACGCACCAGCTCGTACATAGCAGAGCCAGACATGCACTCTGCTGTAACGACTGAAGGGTGGGTTGGGAGGAGAGAGTTATGTATGTAGGGGTCAGCAGGTGAAGGACAAAGGTGACGTCTTACCCGGACCAGAGACAGCGTACACGCGACCGTATTCGGATTCGCGGTCCTCGTCTTTGAATTTCCTCAGGTTAGACATGTTTGAGGTGAGTTCGGTTCAACAGCAACGGTCGAAATTCGTTTGCTAAGCAACAATAAAAAGAAAACAACAGTAAATGTATCTTTTTTTTTTTCATTATAAACAAACACACATTTTGCACGCTTGTTTTTGTGACAGAAATGATGAGAGGAAAAAAAACTAGATGGCGCTGCTGTGGGCAGTTGCCAAGCAGCCCCCAGTGAAAGCTTCAAACCCCCGCAGCAGCAGCAGCCAACGATCGATTTTTCCACACAAATTTCACGTTTGTCAGCCACAGTTTACATGAACAGTTTTTTTTTTAATTTAACTGTAACTATTATCACTTCATGAAGCCTTGCATATTTCTAGGCACTTCAAACTATTCATTACTTCTATTTTTTTAATGCAAGCTCATTAACTTCCTAGTTGGACAATCGCTTTTACTCACATTTGTTTTAGCTCTTATGAAAATTCTCAGCAGACTGAGTTTCTATTTTAATCTAGATTGGCAGCGCCTCAAATTTTCCAATACATTAGGAAAATTCTTATCGATTGTATCATATAACTTATAATCGATACTCGATAGTCATGCGCGTCCCTAACACAGAATGCTAGAAGCACTATGAATACAAAGTTTATTCAAATAAGATCTAATTATGTTATTTTTATTTGTTTATTTATTATTTAAAATACTGAAGTTTATGTATTTTAAATTTAACGCTTACTCATATAATTATATGTCTATAATATCCTTATGATACAATATAAATTTAGTTATATATTAAATTATATTATATGCGGGCTATTTACTTATCTTAGTTTATTTCAAGTATCGTTATGAATGCTTATTCATTTAAATATGTTTGCTAATAAATAATTATGGTTGCCTGACGCAGCTAATATTTGATATGTGCAGATGCACCCTAAATATGAACTGTTATCGAAAGAGCGAACCAAGCATTTAGCTATCGATATGTGGACTATCGTGCATTTGGAGCTAGTTAAACAGTGATTCACATCTCTACTACCTTCTCGGCTGCAAAACAAACTTCTCGCGAAAACAGGGGGTCAAGTGAATTTAAGAACGAGATATATCTTTAAAAGTACATCCATTAAGCTTGTCGCACTGCAACGCATAACACAAACATGTGAAAGTGTCGAACGCAAGCTGTGGAATATTGCGTGACGTGCCCAGACAGATTCAGACTCCGGGCAAGCAAATTATAACCTCAAAGTCTCGACTGGACGTGGGTGCACCTGCTTCGTACTGCAGGCGCTTGGGGAGTTCCCCAGACCCAAGAAACTATTGAACGTAAACATGTCAACATCTTCGATTGTGCAGCAGTTCGTCAACGGACTGAAGTCCCGCAATCGCAATGTCCAAAACAAGGCGGCACAGGACCTGTTCCTGTATGTTAAAACAGAGCTGCGCGAAATGTCACAGGAAGAGCTGGTACAGTTCTTCGATGACTTTGACCATCACATCTTCAACATGGTCAATGCAGCGGATATCAATGAGAAAAAGGGTGGTGCCCTGGCCATGAGTGAGTAAATAATTGCGGTGGCTCCCTTTGAGCTATGTGCTCAGTTAGTTAATGTTCTTTTATTGCTTTATAGAGTGTCTCATTAGTGGTGACGCTTTGATAACACGCAAAGGCATCTCACCCTACCTTAATCGTCTACGCGATCTACTGCTTATCAACGATGTCTCTGTTATGGAAATTGCGGCTCGTTCGCTCGTCAAGCTGGCCAATATGCCAGGGTCAAAGGGCGCGGAATCATTCGATTTTGATATAAAGAAGGCATTTGAAATGCTCAGCGGCGACCGACAGGAGGTGCGTAGCAATTAATATATGCGTACTATAACAATTATTAATCTAATGTTCTCTTATTTTCTATAGTATCGCCGTCATGCAGCCGTCTTTATTTTACGTGAGCTGGCGATTGCGTTGCCCACGTATTTCTATCAGCAAATTCTAACGTTTTTCGATCATATTTTCAATGCCATCTTTGATCCGAAGCCATCG